CTACAGTCAGTGGGCGCGTAGGCAAAGATCATGAAGAGAGCACGCTTTTCGACTCGACGTCTGCTAACTTTACAAGAGCCATGGAGCCTCATCGCACAAAGGCGACTATTGATCGGAATCCAATCAATCAGAGCACCCTCGGCTCTAGCACTGAAGGCCATTCCAACACCAGCTTGCCCCGATGCGGCAGACTCGGCGTCACCAGAGAAGCGGAGATGGAACCGGGTGCGTGGGTGGAGCGGTGACACCAGCTGGTAGATCGAGTTAGAGTCCTGGCGTCGTGTTTCATTCAGGCAGTAGATATCAATTCCAAGGGTCTCTAGCGTGCGTGCAAGTCCAGCATGCTGATCGATCTGCAGTAATGTGTGTATGTTGAAGGCTACAAGTTTGAACTGCCTTCCGGGTTGCAGGAGCGAAGATGGGAGACTTTGGGACTGGCAGCTCTCTGTTGATCACGGTGTGGTTGAGTTGGCAGATGTCGCGGGAACAGATTCATCGGTGTAGGTGGGATTGATCGCCATATAGGAATCTAGTACAAATTGGTGTGAATGGTATAAGGGAACGGTAGATAAAATGGTGGCATGTGCTTGTGAACTTGGCATAGTAACATGAGTAAATAGCATCATAGCAGCAAGAGAGCGGGTGAATGCTTGTGGTTGTAAGTCCATGGTTCGTCATTGGGCGAGATACTACCCGGTTGCCTAGGCCGAAGTAGTGGGTTGTTTTAGGGGGCCCCACCCCGAGCCTTTGATCAAGGATCTAACCTACAAGGCAGCAGGGCGATATGAGAGTATCGCAACCCGTTGGGGGCCGATGACGAAACAAGTGGTTCATACGCCTTTAGGACCGCATAGGACCAGGGGTCCAACACACCCTTGAATTACAATGCCACTCAGAGAGAGGCAAGGGACAGTGACTTTATTTAGTGGTGAGTCACATCCGCCACGTCACAGTGTTGTTAAACGGACATATGTGGTTTTTTATAGGGAGAACGCTTGCCAGGCGAAAAGCCACCATGTCCTGGAACACTGCCGCCGAACTATTCGCTGGAACGGGATAATCCCGAACCACCCAGCTGGCACCACAAGGAGGTTGTTCGGCAAACCATCTATTTTAGACAAAAATTCCACACGACTCCTGGCTAGTCTTCCCCAGCCTCTATTCACCACCATTCTATCATTATTTTGAGTATGCCTGCTATACTTGTTCTGGCCTTGCCCACATATTCTCTTGATTGCATAAAGCATACCTAGTGTTTCGCTTTGCTTTCCTGCTTATTTCTGGCGGTCGAAAAATGCTTCTCCGTTGTTGACCACTTTATGTGCTACCTCTGGCCACCAGCTGACTTGATAATGGGTTCCGTGTTTATCTTCCATCACTCGACGGTGTTGGATGGCAACGGATTTTCAATTCCATCCTCACACATCAGAGGTGTTGGGCCGCTTTATTTCGTTACCTATGCTATGATGCATTACCTGTTTCGTAGGGTCTCCTGGTTTCGAGGGTATCATCCTCTTTTAAGGTAATAAATGACGTTCATTCTCGAGTTTCACGAGACCTATCTATGCCTTAACGCTAGGATCTTTCATGTCACCCATCATAACCGTGCGACGAATTTTGCTGTTGCTGCTACTGGGCAGTTTTTTTGTTTCTGACTCCCCTTACTCGTAATTCAATAATCCTCATCTTCCGCCAACCTCTATGATGATGTACGGTTCATCAAAAGCTACCTCATTGTGACGAAGTCTGCCTGTCCATTGTTGGTCCTTTCGAATTCCACTTTGTTTCTCTCCCTTCTCTTTTACCCTGGCATCGTAGCTTCGACTCGATCTACCGTGACCTCGAAAAGTCCATTGCACAGTTGGATGTGGAATCTGACCTTGCTTGGTGGTCCTCACATCATGGGGTGGATATGCCCGTGGTCCTTCCACAGTTCGAAGTGCGTCGCAGTTCTTTTTGGTTTAATGTTTGCGTCCCACTCTTCTCTCTTCAGTGGGATTTTATTTTTACTGCAATGTGTTGCCGTACTTATGCTCCCACTTGCATTTCGTTTATACTTATCGGCTTTTCGCTACAACCTCTCTCCCTTTTTGGCTTAACAGATTTCGAGGTGGCTGCTACTGTGTCGATTTCTCTCCATCTTCGAACGAATTATGTGCACACTTGCTTTCACTGCTGTTCGTTTCTTCCCACATCACTAGTTTACTCGAATGATTTAACAGAGGAACCCATCTGCCTACACCACGTCATTTTTACTTTTTCAACTGATGACTGTGCAATAGCTTTTCCGCTCTTTGTTTGATTGAACTTAATAGCTAGCTTTCTGTTTTGGTTCACTTTGGGTTCTGACCACGGTGCTAACTTCTAATCTATTACACCAGCTGTTAGTTCTCTCAACCACTTGTAAGTGCCTAGACAACACGGGCTTTCGGGCTCTTCCTACGCGCATCACAGCTGGGCAGTTCGTCCCCATCATCACCACTGGAGTGGGGGAAACTGCGCTTTTAGGGTGGGTCCATTTAGTGCATCGAATTTTTCATTATTAACTAACGACATTATGTAGCCACGTAGTTTTTCGTTCTATCCGGTAACCGTCTCGACATCTTTTGCTCGGATTCTGAGTTGAAGTATAACCAACTGTCCATTACCGAGGTCCCAATTGGGCATGTTTGATTAAACACACTCCGCTCATTGCACTACTTTCAGGTTATTTTTTTCCATCTGTGCTCAAAAACCAAAATGATGATTAGCATACCACAAAGCTTAGCTTTAGAATCTATGACTTCCGCAACCGATTGCCGTACGAATTCTGCTCACGTATTTGTTTCACCACATCGGCTGGTTTGTGACCCATGTGATGGCCATGGGAGTCGGGTGTGCAACACGACCGCAAACGTGTAAAGATTTTACTTATCCGGCGGTTCCGCGAAAGGTTGCACGCCAAAGCACTCACCTGAACGATTCTCTTCGTTTTTTGGATTGTCCGCAAAGTAACGGAGCAAACTTCACTTGCGTTGAGACTGGGTACACAAACAGCACCTGCACAAACATGTAAAGTGAGCTAACGATGTTGTAAAATGCTTACAGTGACACTAAACTAAATTGCTGATTGCTTACCAATGTGTACGGTATTCGGCCCCGCTGCGAACAAGCGTATTCGATTAGGTCACCTCGGAGGTTTTTCATGACAGTGTCTCCGTGACTCCACCTAAATGCAAAAGGGCTTAACAAAATAAACAGTCTACCGTTTGGCACGAAACATTGACCGCCGATAAGTTTACAATGCAACCTTAAGCATCGTGGTATGGCCTGCATAGGTGGCCGGATTAAATCACAGGTAGGAGTCCGAGGTGACAGAAATCCGCATCGAAAACCCGGTAGCGCAGAATTTGGATCAGCTTAACGGCAAGTTCATGGATTGATTGGTCGATGAATTAATCGGATTAAACAGTTGACAATAAAGGAAGTGCAACCTACTTTTCGTTTGGCACACTTAGATTATGGAAGCAATCACTCGTTTTTCTACCGATCGTCGTAAATAGACTATATGATAGAGGATGTTCTTTGTTCATCACAGTACCTCAGTTAGGTTTCTGATCGTGAATTATGCACGAACAAAAGCGGATACTGCTGTTCGCTTACTTAAGAAGGCTGCTGTAGGTGCAACATAGTTCAAATCAAAACTTTAAACAGGCTTGAAAATAACCAATTGGCGAAGTCGATGGCACCTTTGTCATCAGAAAACGGGATAGGACCGAGGAATTCCTAATTCTTTTGTACTCCATTAGTGAGGGTATATGCTCCACCATAAAATTGGAATCTTCTATTGATACGCTGACATTCCTTGGCTACTTAGCCCGCCGGAATGTGTACAGCCTAAAAACAGCTGTACATTGTCAAACGAGATACGAGCGATGTGATTCACTACATTTCAGACTACTCAAACTGTGTATATAACTGGATTGCTTCGTCACTGTTCAACACAGCCCAGCTCGTCTCACTCCATCAACTGCGATGGCTGGGACACGTATTGCGAATGTCTGTTTAACGTTACCCTCGTCATACGTTGTTTGCGGTTGCTGAGCAGAGCTGCAAGAGACGGTCTGGTGGACAGCCTGCAACTTAGAGAAGCCGCATGAGAGTTGACAAAACAGTTGGCCTCGGCCGGTTGGTGTCGACTACCTGGTTGGGTTCCGAGAGACGCGGATAGTTGCGGGTTGAAGATCTTGGAAGCCAGGACTCGAGATAGATGTCAGTGCCGGACGTGTGCATCGGTGTGTTGCAGTGTCCCTCCTACCTGTTACCAAAAAATTCCAAATCCGAGTAGCAAACTTGACAAAAAAGGCTATTGTTGTTGTTTTTTTCTTATTATTCATACGGTTTCCTCATTCAGCCATGATTCCGATGGTACAATATCTACCACAGATTTTGCATATATATATATATATATATATATATATATATATATGTACGCAGGAGAGCCTATGATGCACTGATGCCCGTGATGACTAGATCCTGACAGATGGTCTACCCACTGATGCTACTGTTGTGCCATAGGTTCATGTCCTGGGCGTCTCCTCGTGGCGACCGCTGGGTAGGAGTTGGGTTACGCCCTTCTCCCTGCTAAGATCCAGGACACCAATCCGCATGTTTCAGTGAACTGACCATGTGCTAGACCCGCTGCCTTTCGGGTGTACATTTAATCGAAGGCTTTGGCTGAGGAACCGAGTCGTTCTCCTGTCAGGTGTGGGCGCCCTGCCAGTTTCCTAGTCCATCCTTTTCGGAAGTTAGGAAGTGGTCGATGGCCCACTTCCCGTAAAACCTAGCCATGGGAGACAACAGGTCTACGGGTTATAAGCTCACAGCTCGATTGGCGTAGAGCACGAGCGCCACGCATTGTCTCTGACGGTGGGATGGCACCTCTGGGTGTTCATTGGTTTGCTACTGCCCGCCTCAAGCCAGGCAGCCCCTGATCAAAAAGGTGTAAACCCGCCAATGCTCACCTGCGTCTAGCCGTGGTCGCAGGTGTATCCTACTACGGTCGCAAAATATATATAAATCGTTCCAGTACCTTAAAGTCTGCGTATGACGTATCTCACGCAGATCCCAATTTGTCATTGCAATCATATTCCCGAGCTAGGTCTACTCGCAATGAGGCTGGACCTTACCGTGGTGCGATGGTTTGCGTACTTCAGAGATCCATTGAGCTGTGCTGGATGATGCCTTTTGCACCTTCAGAGCCACTCATACCAGATTGGTCAATGGTTAGAGGCCAGACAAACTCAGCCTCCTGATCCTCCAGATTGGGGGTTGGAATGAGAGTAGCTCCTTATTTTTCTATTACGGCACAGTACCTGACGTGTTTCCCACCTCTAGCTGACGTGTATAATGATATATAGTGATGGCTCCTTATTTCATAAAACGGGCTCTCTGTAGTCCAGTGTCAAAACCCGCTGCCTTGCGGTAAGGATTTTGAACCAAAGGCTTTGGTTGAGAACCCTAATCGTTCTCCTGTCTAGGCTTGGACAACCTGACAGTATTCTGCCTACGCAATACACCATGACCTTTCCTTCTAACCATCTCTTGATGCTCTGGCCGTCGCAGAGGATAATCAACGGTGCCCTATCTGCTACATCGAGCAAGGTGGATAGGGGTATGGATGCTACTGCTCAGGCCTTCCCGTCTTCTTATACCCCTTCTTGCGCTTCTTCATCCTTATCGTCCCGCTCCAACTTTACTTTAATCCCCCATTTTCAATCTCCCAATCCTTGGTCCTCCCCCAGCTTCCTTCAATAGTCACTTGTCTTCTAGTTTCAATTCACACACAGTCGCAGGGCGTCGCTCCAATCCAGTTGACAAGTCCATGTTCAACCAAGCGGACAACGTCAGTTCATCCGTTTCGCTTTGGAGTCCTCGCGTCTCGCTAAGACTAGCATGCCTCAACGTGCGCACTTTACTACAGATTGGCCAGCAGGCAGAACTTGCCCGCACACTAGAGACCCTATCGATCGACATTTGCTGTTTGTCAGAACCCTGCCTGGAAGATTCGAGCTCCGTGGTTACCCTGCGATCCCCCACATGCGACACTGGCGGCACATTCTCATTGCGCCTGTCTGACGATGATGCAGCTTCAAATGCCGGTCAAGCTGGGGTCGGCATTGTGTTGAGTCCCGAGGCTGAAGCTGCCGTGAAAAGAATGTTTCGGGGAATTCGACGACTACTGATCTGAAATCTCCGACGCATTAAAAATTCGTGGTGGACGGAGAAGGCGAAGCAGATGGAATGCTACGCCGAACACCGCCAACACAAGGAATTCTTGGGCTCCTTGAACGCAGTGTATGGACCGAGGTTGGAGCTGCTAAGCACGCTGATCGATAGTGGTTCAGGCGCTACCTGCACACAGACTGCAGACATTATGCAGATCTAGCGAACGCATTTTGTCTTTCTCTTGAACAACCGATCGAAGATCGACTGGCCTACTTTGAACAGCCTGAAGCAGCACGATGTGAAGGTGAGTCTGGCGGACATGCCGACACTGCATGAGACGCAGAGAGCACTTGCTCAGCTGCGAAATGACATGTGTGCCTGTGCCGACGGGATACCGGCTGAAGTACTGAAACACGGCGGACCCGCCTTGGTCACTGCGCTGCACCACTTGTTGCAATGCATGTAGATTGAGGAGCAGGTGCCTCCCGAGCTAAAGCAAGCACTTGTGCTACCATTGTACAATGGCAAACGGAACGAGCAATGGTGCACGAGTTAACGTGGCATCAAATTGCCGCATTGTGTGGGCAAGGTGATTGCCCGAATCCTGCTCAACTGCCTCGTCAGTCAGGTTGTGGGACCGAGCGTGGCGGAAGAGCAATAAGGGTTCCGTTCGGGTCGCAGCACTATAGATATGGTGTTTACGGCTCGTCAGTTGCAGGAAAAGGATAGAGA